TATGGACTGTGCAACAACAGTACTGGTTATTTCTAGGAGTAGGAAAAAAGACCAGGAGCTACAGGATATTTCATTTTCCCGTTGCCAAAGAAAACATAGTTAGGCTAAACCATTTATTGCATGTTTGGTACGTAGTATTAGATAGTATAATGGACAAGATTTCTATTGCTTTTTCTTGATATTGTTTAGAATTGTATAATCCACCTTAACATGCCATAAAATTTTCAAGAAATAGTGCCTTGATATCTTTCACGTTGAATACAAGCCCAAAATGTAAAACCAATTAATGTCGTCCAAATAATATAATGAATAAATTAATTAAAGTGGTTTGTTATTGTAAAAATTCTATTGGTCCATTGAGAAGTGACAATTTTTATTCCATTTTGATGGAAAGTGAATAGTTTTTTCATGACCCTTTGACTGTATGACCCTTGGAATGCATGACTTTTGAACTACCTCTCTCTGCTTATAAATGTGAATGAAGCCCATCAATTATATTATTCAATAACAGTGAGGAAAAGAGAGAGACAATTTCTAGATTTTATCTAGTTCATATTTTGTAGGTTTAAATTTTTCTAGTACAGTTTATCATCAACACATTGCATCCTGAGTATGGTTCATTCCATATCAACTATAATACCTTAAAGGACAAATGGAATGTAAATGACTATTGCATAGTATGCTAGTGCAAGATGAGACAAGGCTTAAGAATCAATGAACTCATTCTATTCATCTCGTAAGTCATCAAGGAGCTGGAAAGAAATATAAGAAAAAGTCTAGAAAGGGCATTAAACAAGGAACGCTAAAAATAAATGAATCTTCTGCCCAAATTCACAATGAGGAATGAAAGAAAGATACGTGCCATTTTTGCCATAAATCTGGGCACCATAAAAAGGACTGCCTGAAACGTAAGGCATGGTTTGAAAGTAAATGTAAAATTATTTCTTATGTTTGTTTCGAATCTAATTTGGCAAAAGTTCCTTATAATACTTGGTGGATTGATTCCAGATGTACCACTCACGTTACCAATACGATGCAGGGATTCCTTACAATCCGAACCATAAATCCAAATGAA